ATTGATTCTTGAGATATTAGAGTGTTTTACAAATCACCAAGATCAATTTGTGTGGCATAGACATTCTTATTCACATTTAAAAGGGTGATGAATGGAAGACAATTATTCATACTTGTTATGACCATTTTGAGCACATAGTTATATCTTTTTGTTTAACTAATGTTTCAATTTTTTTTCAATACAAGGCTAATGATATTTTTTGTAATTTAGTTTATGTCTTCATTATCATTTACCTTGATGACATTCTTTTTTTTTTGAGACTCAAGAAGAACACAATTGTCATATTTGCTTTATTCTTTAAAACCTTCAATAACACAACCTCTTTGCAAAGTTAGAAAAGTGTTCTATTAATTAAGATTTGGCTGAGTTTTTAAGTTATATTGTTTCTTCACATGGCATCATCATGAGTTTCTACTGTTCTAAGTAGTAGTATTTAACTTTTATTCGTGATGTTTAGTGTTTCTTTGCATTTATGAACTTTTATTGATTTTTCATTTAAAACTTTTCCAATATCACTTTTTATCTAACAAAACTCACCACAAAAAATCCCCCTTTGGTGTAGTCTTTTGCTGCTTATACTACATTTAATTTCTTCAAGTTTACATTCACTTTTACTCATGTCCTCATCTATCTAAACAATAAAAAGTTATATTTTGTTGTCATAAATATTTCAAATTTTACATTAGATGGTGTTTTCTCATAAGAAGAACTAGATAGTGAGTTTCATCTAATTATTTTTCACTCTTAGAAGTATATAATTGTAAAGATCAATTATAACATTTTTAACAAAGAGCTTCTCAATCAATTGTGAATTCCTTTGAAACATCATTTTCCCCATGTGACCATTATTTTTAATGATTATAAACTAGTCTTTAAGACACATCCTTAATCAGCATCAAACTTATTAGTCCCAATTTATTTTCTAAGGAAAGACAATAGAAAAATTAATGGTCTCACTTGACGTAATTACTAACTCTCTCTTGTAAAGAATTTACATTTAATTTTTAATAATAAGCATTTCTTGACTTAGATAGCTTCTATATTAATTTCTTGTATAAAAAGTTTGTGAATAAATTTCTTTGAGAGTTCCTCCAGCTTAATATAATAATTATTAGTTTCTTCAATTTTGGGATATACATCTCATCAATATGCTTAATTTTATATATTTGATAGTGAGATGCATTTGTGTCATTAAGCTTACTATGATACTCTAGTAGCAAAACACTTTAGCTTCCATAAGTAAGACATTGGAATTGGTCTAATAATTATTTTGGTGCTCTTATATAAGTAAATATATTGAAAATGTTATCTATACTTGCAATATATATATAATTAAACCAACATGTTCCATTTGGTATTCTTTAGCCACTTCCTCTTGCTCTTAGGTCTTGGAAATCTTTCTCTATGGATTTCTTTATTGATTTTCAACTTTCTTGAAGATTTGATATTATCTTTATTGTGGTTAGTCAATTTTCCAAAAGTGTACATTTACTATATTAGAAGATGATTGATGGAGAGCAATTATAATTTTATATACAAGGACATTTTATATTTTCATGGATTGCCAAAGTATATTATTCAACTCTTAAACAATATCTTTAATGCTTAATTTCCTATCAACAAATGATTGGGTTGATATTTTCCTTTTTGCTAAGTTTTCTTATATCAATTCTCAACACTCTTCAACACATTAGTTTTCATTCTTAGTCAAACTCTAACCTTCAAGTTTTTATTAGTCATATTCATAACTTGGAGAGAAGTCTATTTTAAATATGACTTGGAGAGAAATCATATGAATATTAATCATTTAAATATTCTTATCATATTATGAATATCATAAAATGAATGAGTCTTTTTATGATGAATTCATGAATTATGATATATTATTAATATCATAATGAATTATATTATGAATATCATATTATAAATATTAGTCATATTCATTTCTTCTAGGCTTTGGTTTTACAGATTGCTCTATTCTTGTTCCTACAAGTTGCTCTATCTCCAAGCTAATTAGAAACCTATGTGTAGGTCCATACTAATCCTGAAATGTACAACAGGTTTTAAATTCAAATCTCATGAGTAGAAATATAAGGTTTGAATTCTGTCATAGATATTGACAGTAAAATACACTCTAGCATATACAAAGAAATGACAAATATGTGACAACAATTTGAGAAGAATTAATCTTATATTGTCCCTCATCTTTGATTTTAGATGCAATTCTGAACTCATGCTCAATCTCAATTGTGAGAACTAAAAACACTAACTAGAGAAGGAGAAAAGGGAATATTCTAAAGAATCTTACTCATACTAATCACTTAAAACATCTTTGAGGCTTGACGATTTCTCTTACATGATTTCTGTCTATAGTGATGTCATAGATACTTACAAATAAGAACATATTTCTCCTATATGATGGAACATAAAATAAATTTATTTATAATAATTTAGCATTTATAATTACCAATTTTCAAAGTATTATAATCAAAACAAATTAACCTTCGAATAAAAAGTTTTTAGAAGTCAATTACCAAGTTGTTAATATAAATAGTTATATAATTATTTTAAAAATTATTATAATATTTTTATACTGCTTTCTAGAAAGATTCAGGAAAAATTATAGCTAAAATGAATGTACATACTTTTATTCTTCTTTTAGTTTTAAATTTTAATATTAGTTTTGCTCCAAAGACATACAAACCAAAATTTGGAAAGGTTGGAATTTTAAACTCACAAGATATTACAAAAATTATTACAACTATTTATAATCTATTATATAAAATTGATGGTGAAAGTTATTATTCATCAACTTATAGTGATGATGCTTTTGTTGAAACATCTAAAGGAGTTGTAAAAGTGTTTCTTGAAGCTAAAGATTGTGAAGACACACATATGACAATATATGGTTCTAATATAAAAAAAGGTATTGAAACTATATTAGATAAAAGTATTGATTCACTTAGAGAAGTTATGCCTGGTGAGTTTGAGAGAGAAAGTGTTAAATTCCTTTTAAAGTATACTCTTTCAGATATATCTAATGAATTATTACAAAGTAGTTTTAAAAATGTCCACTTAAATGATAATGTATTATGTTTCTTTGAAAGTTATAATTTATTTTCTGGTTCAAAATTATATACTGATAATTTCTTGATTTCTCCAAATAATAAAAATATATTTATCTTAGAATCTAATTGTAATCTTGCTTATTACTCAAAGAATGTACTAATATGGCAATCCAAAACTTACATATATGGATTTTATTATTGTTTTTTAATTTTACAACAAGATGGAAATCTAGTTTTATACTATGACACTATTGCTTTATGGTCTACTAATACTTATTGTGAACATCAACCTGATTGTTTGTTATCAACAATATTTACTGTTAAAAATAGTTGTAACTTAGAACTTGTTTCAACTAAATTCCCAAATAAAGTTTTGTGGGAATTAAAAACAAATTCTGAAATATTATGTTTTTAACAATTCATCAGAATATAGCTTTATAATGATTATATTTTTACAGATTATTCAATTTATAAAATATTTAAAATAATTTGCTATGTGTTGCATGTAGCAATGCTTAGTTTACTTAATAGTAGCGTTATTTATTTGTTATTTATAAACACAAGATTAATATTATTGCATATCAACCATTAGATGATAGAATTAAAAAAAGAATATAATAGAAAGGTTAAAAAAGTTTATAAATTATAAATACAAAATTAATCTAAGTGAATAACAACTGTGAGATAGTAAACTATCCTAGAATATCCAAATATATTCTAGATATATTCACTACCATACAGGTTTGCCAAAAACTATTTGAATAAAAATCCTAGTAAAATGCACAAAAACTATATTTTCTGGAGCCTTGAAGATTATTCTTGTGATCCTCTTGGAACTAGTGAGGGAGAACGCTGCTAGTTGTTGATTCTTGTCCAAAGCTAGCAGTTTATAACCATAATCACTGACCTTGGAATGTGCTGTTTCTCTCTTAATAGCTAGTGCAGTTCTCCCAGTGCAACTATGATTTGTTTAGGACTACATGGGTGACTGCCAGGGGCTGCTAGATTGCAAAGGTCTTCTAAATTTTCAGTGTGCCATCTCCCATCCAACTTTACCTAAAATCCTCAAAACCTTGAGTATTCTTATGCGCAAGCAAGCTATCGACCAGAGCCATTTCTTGTCCAGTGCCTAAGTGCTTGTTCGAGTGCTTGTTTGTTTGTTGGAATGCTGACCCCACAGTGCTCTGGCCTCACCATTGTATTGTAGCTTGTCACTTTTGTCATCTGGGCAGGTTTGCATCGAGTGATGTAAGTGAGAAAATTAATAATAAACCCCAATTACAAACGAATTAGAGTTTGTTTTAGAATCTAGATTGAGGCATATCCTACTACTTAAACATTCTTGACATATTCTTTACACCCAGGTTTTCTAAAGCAAACAATTTATCCAATTTATCCCGTTTGGTTGAAAAATAAGATATAGAACGTCTAAAGATAAGTTAAGCTACTAAAATGCATGCTTGTGGTGTCAAGTTACGTTTGGTAATGTATGCCTTATTACCTTGTGATGCATGAGGCGAATGGATTGAGCATAGTGAAGTGTTGAGAATGGTTAGGATAAAAGTTTGGGAATGACAAGGCCAGACATGGCTTGGAGTTTATACTTTAGTCCTTTACTCTCTATTCTGCCCAGAACAGATACAATAATTAGTACATGTATGCTTTGCTACCTCACAAAGTGAGGTGCTGTCGAATGCCACGAGATTAACATGTAGAGCAGCAGCTCGTCCAAAAACCTTGAAACGAGCGTCAACGTAGATGTGTGTGATCAGACGGGTATAGATTGAGAAGATTGAGAAGCGTGGAATCAAATCAAATCAAAGAATGACAAACAAAATTGCGAACTTGATGACAGCAGGTTCTTTTCTCCTCGGGTCAGTCACGTTTTCTAACCGATTGGTGATCAGAGCAGAGGAAACGAAACAATATCAATTAAGTTACCTGGATTGGCAAGAAGAGCTTGTATTCAGCAGGCAGCTCCTCCTCGGAGTAAAGGCGATCGGAGAAGTAGATCCTCCGGATGCGGCAATTGGCGTGAACTTGGACGCACAGCGTCTCGACGTAGTTCGTGCCGTAAGCGCGCCTCGTGAAGTCGGAGAGGTTGAACTGGATCTGGTTCCATCCCTCGTCTAGCCTCATTGGCATGGTACAGATGAAAGGCTTCACGCGTGTTGTCGACTGAAAGAAGAACGGAGGTGAGCAACGACAGCTTTGCTAGAGAAAAGGAAGTTAACGAAAGAAACTTGTGAGAAGTTTATATTACCTGGTTGAAAGCAGATGTGAGCGTGGAAGTACCTCAAAGTTGGAGGCTTTGAACCGGCGCTTGACGTTCTTGTCGTCGAGGACTTGGACCTCAAACGTGAAGTACTTGCGCAGGTTCTTGATGATCATCACCAGGAAGGGCAGCTTGATGCCGAGCGTGGTCTTTGGTTCCTTGGGGCAAGTGATGAAATTCGTGCTCACGTTCGTTCCGCGAATCTCCAAAACACTCGACTGGATGTCCTCGTCAGTCAATCTCTTGATGTAGCCATTCGTCACTGCAACAAAAAGGAAGAACAAAGAAACAAAGTTCTCTCTCTAAGACCGAAGGACACAAAGAAAGGATCAGACCTTCTTCGTTCCATATGTTGAGAGGCTTTCTCCTGTCCAGAAAAAAAAATGCATTAGCGAGCTCTCTACAGATCTTTGACGAATAGAAACGATTTCTCACCCAATGCTGTAGAGGATGGAGAGGAAGCCGGATTGGAAAGCATTCCTAAACATTGTCGCTCCCCCAAATCAGCGCCGCGCTCGCTCGCTCGCTCCTGCCCTAGGTCTGGCTCCAAAGTATTTCGATCGGCCTGGCCAGTGCGAATGTCAATCTATCTCTCAATCACTTCACGGCGCTGGCATTGCGTACCTTCGATCGCGATCAAGAGAGAGCTACGAGGGCGACGGATGGATCAAAATCGGTGGCTCCCCCTCCACTCCGCCATTGCAGGCTTGCCGGTAACTAAACCGCCCAGCTCCATGTCATAGCTGATGTGGCTGGAGAATCCGCCAACATGGCGAGAATGTCGCTGGCGTGGCGCCATGTGAATCGTTGTCCGGAGCTAACTGCCCAGCCGGCTGAAATTCAAAAAGAAGAGCGCGCTCTCTCTCTCTCTCTCTCGGCCCTAGCAATTAGGGTTCTTCCACCATGAGTGGGTGTAACTCTGGCTGCGGCCCCCAGGGATCTGAACTTCCCGCATTTTCCTTCTGCCATCCACCGGTAAGCAGCGATCCATGGCTCTTGGATTTTCATACAGGATCGCAGGCATCACAAAGCACAAGCCTGGTGGATTTCGCAGGAATGCGGGCGGCCCAAGCCCCAAAATCTCAACTTCACGGATGGATTCCGGGAGGTGCGCGATCCCGAGGTGCGCAAGCAGCACCGGCGGGAGCTGGGCGAGAAGATGCGCGATTATTTCTACGAGGGCGGGGTTTGTGGGCCTTGCAACGTAGAGATGGGCACTCCACTCCCAAAGTGGCTCAAATACGATCGCCAGGTAACAAACTGGGGTCTAGGTAACAAATTGGAAGAGAAACTGGTAAAATTTCATCGTTCTTTCTTCCAGGTGCTGAGATTTTACTGCTACTTCAAAGAGCCTGTGAACGAGAGGAGGGACGAGAACTTTAGAGTTCGAAAATGCACCATCTATTTCTACCTGGAAGATGGAAGCATCCATGTCTCGGTGAGTGCTCGGGATTTCTTTTCATTTCCGTGATTTCACAAATAATCTTTCATCGGAGGAACTTAACTTTCGTGGATTTCGGGAGCACTTTATAAACTCTATTTGTCGTTGATGCATGCAACAGGAACCACGCCAAGACAACAGTGGCCTAATGCAGGTTTGTTGATTTGTTCTTTCCTCTCCAGGTGTACATTTCTAAACTTCGTTACGTGTTTTGTCTGCAGGGACAATTCCTGAAGAGGCACAGAATCCCCAAGAAAGATGGAAGTGGCTATTTGTCTGTGAAGGATTTTGTCCTGGGCACAGACTTGACTATCTACGACAGGACTTTTAGGATTTGCAACTGCGACACATTTACTCGAGTTAGACACATCCTCAAAAACACTTTTTGTGCTTAGATGTGACTAATGTGTGTTGCAGAGGTATTTGATGAAGCACAGATTTGAAGTGGGCAACGAGGAGGATGTTCCCGGAGAACCTTTGTCCGCATACCGCAAGAGCTTGGAGCGTCATCGTGTCAAGGTTCACAAGGAGTATGCAAACAAACAATTTCTGGAAAACGATGGAAAGGTTCTAAGATTTTTCTGCGTTTGGGACGACCGTGGGGCCGTCTACGGAGAACGTAGGCCATATGTAAGTTGGATTTCCTTTTCTTCTGATTCTCATGGCTGTTTTTCTTTCTTTCTTCAGGTTCTTCATTACTTCTTGGCAGATGACACGATAGAGATTTTGGAAATGCACGAGCGGAATAACGGGAGGTACCCGTTTCCAATGATGCTGCGCAGGATGAAACTTCCTCGAGAGATACCAACTGACCTCTTAGGTGAGATCTTCTTAGGAGAAGAGAACTAAACCGAGCAGTAAAGTGGTAGCATGCTGCAGGCAAGAATATTGGAGCTCAGCATGTTCACAAGTCCTCGTGCTACAACGAGTGTGACTTGCACATAGGGAGCTTCTTGACGATTTACGGTCGAGATTTGCTACTGCACGATTGCGATGATTTTACCCGACAATATTACAAGGAGAAATGGGGAGTTACTGATGACATGCTGGAGCCTGTTGCGGTTCAGGTAGCGTTTCTTTCCTTCTCTCTTTGTGTCTTTCAGTTTGTGATGTGTGGCACGGCTTTAATGGAACAATTGCGCTACAGGAAAAAGCACCGGTGCTGGCCAGAATGGAAGTTCCTCCATACAACGGCTACGGTTCTGACGCGGACAGTATGCAAAATTGTATTTCTCTGATTCCAAAAGCGGCCATGAAAGACTTCAACAAGTTCTTAAACAACGACGGAAAGGTAGACACGACTACTCGAAAGCTCTTAAGTGCCTTTTGACGCCTTCTCGCTCTCGTGAATATACAGATTATGTGCTTTTCGGCAAGGTTCGTAGAAGATGCAAATCACCGCGTTATAGGCCCGGACAGAGGTCGCCTCTTCGTTTTTCAGGTACTACCATTTGTTTCTGTCATTTGTTTAGATCTTGATAATGACATGTTTTTGCTTGCAGTACTACTTGTCTGACGATACAATTGCCATCTACGAGCCACCGGCTAGAAACTCCGGTATTGTTGGTGGCAAGTTTTTGTATCGTCAGGACGCTCCTCCCAAGCCTGGGACCAAGAGACCATATGGACCAAGCGATATGCTTGTGGGAGCGAAACTAGAGATACACAGGCATTTGTTCGAGCTCCTCCAGGCAGACGAATGGACGCTCAAGTACATGGAGAGAAACCTCAGTACCTTCCCCCAGTCGGATTATAGACGAGCTTATTGCAAGGTGATATTTCCTTACTGTTTGTTATTCATCTCTTCTCATGGTTCTTTTGCAGCTAAAATCTTCGATTGAGAGAATGCCCGAGGATGGTCTCCACAATCTCAAGCTCACACTACCAAAGGGCAATCCGTCGGAGTAAAACACAAATCTCTCCTCAAAATCTCTTTTTTGAGAAACTTTCAAGCTAACTTAACGCGTTTTTCTCACTGCAGGCAATTTTCTCCAATCGATATCTTGTTGCCAATCTTGGCGAGAGGTGGCATCGACATGACGAAGCAAGAGCTCGTGACAATCGAGCGTGGCTTGGAGAATGGCCAAGAGCCTGGGGTACAAGACATCTACACGCTCATTGTGAAGTTCGTATGTATATCCATGAGCCGATAGATTGAAACTTGGAAACTCTGGTGTTTGGAATGCCATGGGTATGTAAAAATCTCATAAATTACAAGTGAAACAAGAGACTGTATACAACACAAGTGAGATCAATCCATCAAACCTTTCGTTTACGTTGGTGAAACCTTCTCGCCGGGCTCGTTCTTCTCGTAACCAGCATGGCGATGGCGATGGCGATGGCGCTGGCGGTGTTTTCTCCTGGCAGCAATGATCCAAAACACGATGGACAGCATCGTTCCGGCGGAGGCGAGAGCCAAGCCAATGTAAATCCACCTCGTGTACTTCCGCAAGCCCGGGCACCTCTCGCGGATGATGGTCTCGAACGTCTCGCGGACGAACACGCAGTTCTCCACGTTCACCAGGAACGGTACGTTGACAACCAAGCCGGTAGCGACGGACACGGACTTCATGACTTGGTCATTTATCTGTGGAGTCATTCGTCCAGGCGTGGCGCACGTCGTCCCAGTAGGAGCTTGACAAACGTAGCGGGACCAGTTCTATCACGATCGAAAGGAAAAAAAGTGTCAAACAAGTCTCTGGAGTGAAAAGAAAAAAGAGTGAAGTTGAGTTGCTTACCCCTGGAGCTTGCTGGAGCGTGATGGTGCCGCTGGCACACGGGACTTCGGCGTAGTCCGGCGCGGGACCGTATGGACTGCACAGCGTGGGCATCGTGGGTCCTGACTGGTTGAAGTTCAATGGATTACCAGGGGGCGCGGCGTTGCCGTTGAGGACGAGCGTGACTGCCTGGTTAAGGACTCTCACCACCGACACCGCCACCTCTTTGCTTCTGTCCAGCGTCTGGTTTGCTGTTGTCTGGTTGACGCACGGAAGGATGTCATCCAAGTTTGTGCTGCGGCCGGGGTTTTGGACCCACTCGCGCATTGCAACACAAGTGTCCCCCATTACGCTGAAATGAAAAAACATATATCAGGCTTGGTAAATGGTCTGCCAGTCTTACTTGTTGAGAAGAATGAAAACGCCGCAGAGAATCCACGTTGCGATGACAAGAATGAATCCCAAAATCACCAGCCTGGAAGGAACCGTCGGTGAGTTAACAGCTTACCAAACAAGATGAGAAATGAACTAGTTGTTGACACTTACAGGTAGACAAGGGACTGCAAGCCACACGCGGCGAACACTGCGTTGAACATGGAAAAGTTAGCTTCGCTTTTGAGTATGGTTGCATCTTACAGATTCCGAGAAGCACAAGTAGGAGCATCGCTGCCGAGATGATAATCATTGCCAAACGCCTGGAAACGTAAGAGAGAGTGTTAGTTCCAAATAATTTTTTGCGTTTTCTCGAATGAAAACAAGCGACGTGCTTACACCATGTTGATGGCCCTCCGGATCTTGTGCGCATTGTCCTCTGTTTTCAACTCCAACTGGTTCGAGGTGGTGTTCAACTGCTGGCTTATCTGCAAGACTTGCTGCCTCTCATCGTTCCCTAGCCCAAACCCAAAAATGTTAATGGAAGCTCCCTGGTTGAGAGTTCTCGACACATTCTGGAGGTTGTCCACGGTAGTCTGGGACTGCCGTACAACGAAGTTGAGAGTGCCGGACAGCTCGTCATGGAACTTTGCCTGGGAGATGTACACCAACACGCATCCGGCACTGCAAAAGAAGGGAAAGCTCAGCTTATCCAGCTTTCGCTATATAGCTTACACTTACATTGCCGCCAAAGTGAGTAAGGAGAGCAGGAGCAAGGGTACCAAACTGGACTCGCTTCCCGAGCGATCTTTCCTCCTACAGCAGCAGCAGTAGCAGCACAAGGACAGTAGGAAGAGCAAACCCAGCGCTGCCCAGAGGAGTGCTAGGATGAAACCCGGAAGCCCTGTAAAACCGACAGACTAGAAGAAATCAAAGGAGTAAGGGCCAAAAACAAAATATCTATGCGCGCTCGTACCGCCCAGTAGTGTTTGTTTCGAATGTCCCAGCCATCCCTGTATCGCCGGAAATCATCGAGTGGATCGTGCCTGCTAGTCCGATCCTCCGCGAGGAGCAAGGTCGAGTTAGAGGAGGGCGCTTGCTTCAGGGTTCTCCCAAATCCCGGATGAATCACCACTATTCCTGTGTCTGCCACAGCGCAAAAGAAAATATTTCTCACCACGAGAATAGCGCACGCAGCTACAAACCTTGGAATGCTCCACGATGATCTTCCCGCGCGGCGATGGCAGCAATCGCGATCGCCAGTAGCAGCCACAGCGAGGCCCTTGCTAGAAATCCCATGGCTGGCCAGCAGCAGCTACCTCGCGGCGTTGGATTGGGGTAGGGACAAGAAATCTAGCAAAGATTGAAGCTCCGCTCACTCCCGCGCCATCGATCGCCGGTGAGATCGATGAAAAACATGCAACATCACGCGCCCTGCGCGATCCCTGGGCAAATGCGACTCGACGAAACCTATGCTACCGTGCGAGAAAGAGGGGGAGAGCTAGTTTCCAAGCCAAGGGATGGAATGTCCAACGGGTCGCAAGGCATGGACATTCCGGCAGGGCCTTACGATCCGGAATGGGCAAGCGCGTGGAGCCGCCTTCCCGTCTGGGCAACCGACACGTGGCGCGCATCACGCTTAGTTTACATTGTTTACAGCTATTATGGTGTTACCGACACAGCGATTATTCTAAGCACCGCGTATAATCAGTCGCAACGTACAAGTGTCCAACGAGGTGGCATCGTAATATCACCGCCACCTTTCGCCTCAAAATTTTTCTTGTAGTGTTTGATTGCCTATGATAGATGATGCATGCATGCAAAGCGAAGCCACCGTGTCGTCGTTGGGCCCAGCCTACTATGATCAAAAAGGCCTGGGAAATTAAAGAAGACGAAAGCTAAGGTCTGAAAGGACGTGTATTTGTCCGTCTCTATCGTCTAGTCTCGCGACCTTCGCAATTGTGACTTTGGTGGGACTCCATCGTTGAGAAACCTTGCCTTGAAAACAACCTCCAACCAAATAGAAAAATGGAGGAGAATAGAAGCCGTGACGTTAGCAATGAAACGGAAGCGCAGGCACTAACCAGCATATCATCTCCAGAGCCCGGTCTATCTCTCTTTCAGATCTGTGCGAGATCAGCGTTAAGTTCTTGTCAGACAGAAATCAGAAAAACTGCGAGAGACACCTGGATTGTCGCATCCATGCCACAGAATCGAGCTTTCAGAGATTTTAGTACCATTGTGCAGGCCAGCAAAAGAGCGAGAAAGATCTAAAAAATTAAAAAAAATGATTTTTCTCGGCTTTACTCACAGTTTTAGGCACTCTTTTTCGCGGGTTTTATGCGCTTGGCTCTCGAGTAGGCAAAGACGCCAGCCAGTGCCAGAGCAGTGCCTGCAATAAGTACACCGTGTGTTTTTAACTTGGATAACGAAGCGACGCAAACGGCAGGGAGAATCTTACCAAGAGCATTTATTGTCGACACTGGTGTTCTAAAGAAGATGACTGAAGTTACAATCACAATCACGCGCTTGACACAGTTTCCAACGGAGTGCGTAACCGGCGATACCCTTTGCAATATCATGTAGGACACCTGCAAATCGTCCTTCAGAAACAACGCTAAACTTGCATCAGAGCAAACCTGTTGGTACGAATGAAAACATAATCCTGCTACTAATGCTCTCAACATAACAACTTTCACATCCAGTCCCTGCAGGATCCATTTTCTTTCTATTAGTAAACGCAACGTAGGAAGTGCACGAAACAAATCTACCATTGAAGTCAAGTATTCGGGTGTGAATTTCACTCCCTCGAAGAACAGCGTCACGGGTGCCAGAAGGAAAAAGGACAGGATCGTAATCACGGAGAACAGATTGATGTTGTCAAGAGAGCCCTGCGGAAGAAAGTGAATCCAAATAGAATGAGAACAGAGAACAAGATCTACCTCCTTTTTCACCATCAACTTTTTGCTCAAAACATTTCGCGACTGGAAAGTAACATTTGATGCCATGGCGCTTAGAAATCCAGCCCTGTCCATAGAAAAAGAATATAAGAAACGGCAAATGCGATGTTGGTAAGGCCTTGTTACCAGTTGAAAGACGCCTCAGTCAAGGATGCCAACGCCACACCTCCAACAATTGGCAAGAGAGAAGCGATAATCCAAGCACTTGGAGCCTGCAAAGGCAACTGATATAGAACCTTTTCTGCGAACGTATCATACCTCGCCAAGGAACATAGCCGATAGAAGAACAGAGAAAAACGGCTCCATAGCCTTGATTGTGTGAGTAAACGACACCGCAACCTTTCCAAGGCTCATGTTGGTAAAGAGATTCCCCATGGTGTGCACCAATGCCAGCGGCAAGATCGCGACCACCTACGAAGAAACAAGGACAAAAGTTTGAGATGCTCGATCGACACAAACGACAATTTCTACGACGATACCTGTGCAGTGGTGAGACTTGGACGCTTGTACAGTCCCGTAGTCCACATGAAGAGCACGGCAGCGGACCCAATGGCGAATTGGATCTCAGTGATCGTGATCGGAAATGGAAAGACCTTGAGCACCTGAGAAATCACAAGTTCTAGTTAGAAAGTAGCATGCATGGAGAAAACAAGAGAAGATCCTAGCTAAGGTGGAGAAAAGAAAACGAGAAGAAACAATGCCTGCTTGTTATAGATGTTGAAGTAGATGTTGAAGAGGTACCACAATCCGAAGAGCGATCCCAGCTGGAGTGTGCGCATCATCGCGCTGCCGGATTCTTGCTCCTCCACGCCATCGCCTGGAGCTGCCGCTGACGCATCGCCCGATGCAGCGCTCCTCGCCTCGATGATCCGCGTCCGGGGCCGAAATTTCCTCGCGAGATCATCCTCCCTCGGTGCGCCGAGAAGAATCGGCGTCAGGCCCGCAGAAACCGATGCATGCACTCCCCCCCGCCCAGCGATGGAGCTGCTCGAGATCCTGGATCCGGCCGCGAGAATTCTGGCATGCCGCTGCTCGTGCCTGCTCGAGAATGTGAGCGAGGAGGTGCTGTGCAAGCCCGCGGCCGCAGAGATCGCCATTGGAGAGAAGAATGCCACTAGCCTAGAACCCTAAAATCCCGAGCTCCAAACCCTCAAATATCATGGGCGCATGAACAGCTTGGCACGCCTGATCAAGGAATGCGGCGCTTGCCAGGATCTCCGCCAGGCGCATTGGATCCAAGCCCAGATCCAGCGCGTGAAGAAGCAGCGCGATAGAACCCTCCTCCTCAATCACCTCATCGAGCTCTATGGGAAATGCGGGAGCGTGGACGATGCCCTCGCCGTGTTCCAGACGATCGAGAAACCTAACGTCTTCTCCTGGAACATTCTGGCGGCGGCATTTGCCCAGAACGGCGATCTTGAGCGCGCGAGGGAAGTTTTCAATCGAATGCCCGAGAGGAGCGTCGTGTCGTGGTCGCAGATCACGAATCTCTACGCTCAAAGCGGGGATTTGGATGAGACTTGGAGATTGTTTCTTGCGATGCCGGATAGAACAGTCACGTCTTGGACTGCGCTCGTTGCGATGTATGCCCAGAACGGGTATTTTGGAATGGCGAAAGAAGTGTTCTATAGGATGCCCGAGAGGAACACCCTTGCTTGGAACGCGATGATCCAAGGACTGTCGCTCAAAGGCGATGTTCTTGGCGCCAAGGAAGTGTTTGATGCAATGCCCGAGAGAGATCTTGTGGCCTGGACAACGATCGTCACAAGCTATGCCCAAAACGGGCATTTTCGCGAGGCGATCCATCTCTTCTCACACATGCCCGAGCGCGATCTCGTCTCCTGGAACGCGCTCATCACCGCGCTGGCGCAAGGCGGAAGGCCCGACGATGCACTCACGCTCTTCCAATTGATCCCGGTCAAGAACATCACCGCGTGGAGTGCGATCGTGGGAGCGATCGCCCACAGTGGCGATGTCGAGGGCGCCAAGCTCGCCTTCTCCGCCATGCCCACCCGAGATCTCGCCGCCTGGAACATCCTCGTCCAGGGATTCATCGCCACCAGCGCCATTGAGGCGGCGATGGAGGTGTTCTCGCGGATGCCGCAGCGCGACACCGTGCTCGCCACTGCCATCGTCGCGATCAATGCCGAGAATGGCCTCCTCGACGAGGCGACGCGCGCATTCGAGGTGATGCCCCAGCGCAACGTCGTCTCGTGGACGATCCTGGCGGTGGGCGCCGCGGAAATCGGCCGCGCTGCGACGGCGCGCGAGATCTTCGCGAGAATCCCCTGCTGGGACGCCGTGATCTGGACCGCGATGCTGGGCGCTCTCGCCCGAGGGGGCAATCTCCACGAATCGGAGCTCCTCTTCCACAGGATGCCCGAGCGCGACGCAGTGGCATGGAACGCGATGATGAAAGCCATCGCTCGCAGCAGCGGCGAGGAGTCCTCGCGCCTCTTCGATCTCTACGCGGCCATGAATCTCGAGGGCGATGCCAATCCCGATGCGCTCACTTTCAACGCGATCCTCACGGCCTGCAGCCACGCCGGGCGCGCGATCGACCGGGGATTCCACTACTTCGCGATGATGATCGCCGAGCATGGGATCGCGCCTCTCGCGGATCACTTCCAGTGCCTGATCGATGGGCTGTGCCGATCGACCCACCTCGCGCGAGCGTACGAGCTTCTCACCACCATGCCGCACCGAGCGGACATGGTGTCGTGGACGATCTTCCTGGCGGCGTGCCGCGTCTATGGGGAGACCGATTTGGCGGCGCTGGCGGCGCGCTGCGCAGTGGAGCTCTCCCCGGAGGAATCCTCGTCTTACGTGCTTCTCTTCAACACCTACATCGATTCGATCGATCGCGTGGGCGATTGATTCGAGCCCATCGATCTTCTGGAGGAGCTTAGCCAGCACAATTGACATAGCTATGCTCCTCCAAATTCTTGGCGATCAAGGTATTCGAGAGGAGCAAGTAGGAAGATCCTTGCTCTGGATTGGATCCCGCGAGGAACTGCGCTGCTCGAGCCGCCCGGTAGAGATCTCCGTGGGTCTTGGACGCTGCCAGTAGCGCCGTCCAAGCCAGCCCGTCGGGATTGTCAAAAGGCATGGCGTGGATGAGCTCCTCGGCCTCGCCCAGCCGCTTTGTTCTTCCCAAGAGATCAATCACGCATCGGTAGTGCTCCGGCGATGGCTCCAGCCCCTGATCCACGCGCAGTGACTGGAATTGGCGGCGCCCTTCTTCCAGAAGCCCGCCATGGCTGCAAGCTGTGAGAATTCCAACGAAGGTGATGGAATTCGGCCTCACGCCATCCAATTCCATCGCCCAATACAGCTCCAGAGCGCGATCGCTCTGCCCAATCTCCGCCAGCGCCTGGATCATGGTGCTCCATGACACCACATTCTTACTCGCGATTCTCGAGAAGATCTCGCTAGCTTCGCGAAGGCGGCCATTTTGCGCATAGGCCGTGAGCATCGCGTTGAGGGTGATGGTGCTCCACTGCGGCATTTTGTCGAGGATCTTCCTCGCCTCCCCGGCCTTGCGATTCTGCCCACACCCGACGATCATCACCGTGTAGCTCATGACGTTCCGCGCAGTGAGGTTTGCAAATAGCTCCCAGGCTTCTTCCAAATGCCCAAGCTGGGCATAAGCCTGGATCATCACTGTCACAGGCACTATGCCGGGGTCTTCGATTCTATCAAGAAGCTCTCTAGCTCCACGAAGATTTCCATTGTGAGCATGGGCCTGGATCATCGTCGTCAATAGCGCCGAGTCTTTGAACTCGAGCGTATCAAACAACGCCCTCGCTTTGTCAATATGCCCTGTCTGGGCATATGCTGTAAGGAGGATGGTAAACGCGATTAAATCCCTCTGCGGCATCTTGTCCAATGCAACCACCGCTTTGAGAAAATCCTCCTCTTGCGCTAGCGCTTGTGTGAGCACCGTCCACGAAACAACATCTCGCTGAGGCATGCGATCGAAGTTCCGCTTGACGCTCTCCAGATGCCGTGTTCGGGCAAATGCTGTAAGGATCGCGTTCCAGGACGTGACGCTCCATTCGGGCATCCGATCAAAGGTCTCTACAGCTGAAGCGATCTCACTGGCGTCCCCAGACGCAGAAATACCCGCGTTCCAAGATCCAAGATCTCTCTCCACCATGGTTTCGAAGACTGTCCTCGCGTCCTCGGGATGCCCATTCCGGGCATACGCCTTGAGCAGCGCATTGCCCGACAAGGCATTGGTGGCGCGCATGGAATCAAACGTCCGTTTGGCGTCCTCTACGCTGCCGCAGCTACCATAGACCCCGATCATGGTGTTCCCGGATACCACATCCCACTCGGGCATGAGCGCGAACACTCGCCGCGCCTCGTCGGGTTGCCCGGCGTGCGCGCAGGCGCCCACCATCGTCGCCCACGAGTTGCAATCCCTGCTGCCGCGCATCGCTGCGAATGCGTCGCCCGCGTCGCGGAGTCGGCCATTGCGGCCGTAGGCGCTGATGAGGATGTTCCAGGAGTAGGAGTTGGGCTTGTCGATCGAAAGGAAAACCTCGCGTGCGAGACACAAGTCCCCGCATTTGCCATAGGTGTCGAGCAAAAGATTGGCGAGGTAGCGGCTGCGCCGGAATTGGGGGCTATGGCGGATGAAAGAATGGAGGCGGCGGGCCTGCGCTAGATCCTTGGCGGCGCCACTGCCGCTCAAGAGGCGGCCAAGAGCGAAAAGCTCGCGCCTGACACTCTCATCGGTCATAAAACCCAGTCAATGAGTCCACTCGTAGACTGAAAAAGTCGTCCACTCCTTGACTAAGAAGTCAACTCAACCAGTCAAAGAGTCCCACCTTTTGGACTGTGCATCGCTCGCGCGATCGCGTTCATGAGCAGGATTCTTCGCCAATTACTCCGGCAAGAGATCGATTCTTCGCCTTGCTCGCAGCAGTCCCCCGCGGATCTAGATCTACATTCACTGATTCGATTGCTCCACCTCTCCCACGATCTCCCCTCCCTCCGGCGAGCCCACGCCGCGATCACGCACAGCAAACACGCCCACTGCCGCTTCCTCGCCAATCTCCTCGTCGATCTCTACGGCAAATGCGGGAGCCCCAGGGAGGCGCTGGCGGTCTTCAGCGAGATCAGCGATCCAAACTCCTACTCCTGGAATTTTATGCTCCGGGCCTATCTCCTCGGCGGACAGATGATCGAGTTCCAGCAATTCTTCGATAAAATGCGCGCGAGAAACGCTGTTTCCTGGACGACTGCTGTGGAGGCTTATGCCCAGGCAGGGTATCTAGGGGAAGCTCGCTCATACTTTTCAAGGATGCCACACCACAGCGTAATCGCTTCTACGTCCTTGATGGTAGCTTACGCGCAATATGGTTATCTTGATCAATCAAAAGAAATGTTTGATCAAATGCTCAGAAAGACAGAGGTAACTTGGAACGCTATGCTAGAAGCATATGCCCAAGACGGGCAACTTACTTATGCAGAGTTTATTTTTTATATACAGCCTAGGTGGAGCATAGTCTCGTTTACAACTGTAATTGTCCTTTACTCGCAGTTTGGCCAGATAGTAAAAGCCACTCAAATGTTTAACGAAGTCGCTGACAAAGATGTTGTTGCTTGGGGAGCTCTCCTCTCGGCAAATGCCGAGAACGGGGATTTGCAGACCGCCGAGAAGATTTTCTACCTCATGCCCGGCTGGAGCGTCGCGGCTTGCAACTCCGTCGTTGCGGCCTATGGAAACGAAGGTCTCGTCGACAAAGCAAGGCTCGTGTTTGATCGAATGCCCGATCGAAACCTTGTCACGTACAACGTCCTCCTCTCATCTCTCGCTCAGCATCGATTCCACGACTCCAAGAGCCTGTTCGACGCCATGAAGCAGCGAAACATCATCTCATGGAACAACATCCTGCGAGCTTTCGTCGAGAGCCAGCAGCTGGACGCGGCGGAGGGTCTGTTCTTCGCAAAGTTCCCACACTACAACCTCGTGTCGTGGAACATCATGCTTGGAGCTCGCAAGGATTCGAGTCGAACTCGGCAGCTTTTCGATCGAATGCCCCACAAGGACGTGATCTCGTGGTCCGTTCTCCTTCAAGCTTACGCCGACGCCGGCCACTGCTCGCTTGAGGCCAAGCTTGTCTTCCTCCGGCTCCCTCGCTGGAACTCTTTCAGCTGGAACGCCGTGATCCAGATCTACGCCCAGGCACGCAAGCCGGACGAGTGCTGGGAGCTCTTCCAGCGATCGCCCAGCAGGAACATCGTCTCCTGGAGCCTCATGATCCAGGCGTTCTTCCTAGCGGATCGAGCCGCCAGAGCCGTGGAGGCCTTTAGCCTGATACCACGCAGGAACTTGCTGCTCGGGAACTCGATGATCGCCGCCTTGTCCCACCGCGGCCATCTCGAAGTCGCCTTGAGCGTCTTCGAGCAGCAAGCCCCCTCGTCCGACACTTTCTCCTGGACGTCCATGATCCAGGCCTACGCTCGAAGCTCACAGCTCCACCGCGCTCTCCGGATGCTGGCGAGGATGCTGCTCGAGGGCGTGGAGGCAACGGAGGCGACGGTGACGGCGCTGCTCACTGGGTGTGGATTTGGCGGCGAGGTTGACGAGGCGAGGAAGCACTTCTTGCGGATGGAGGATGACTTTGGCGTGAGGCCGAGCTTGACACACTTCCACTGCCTCGTGGACGCGCTGGGGCGAGGCAAGAAGCTGGATGAGGCGGAGGAGCTCGTGGAGACGATGCCATATCTGCCGGATAAGGTGTCGTGGGTGTCGCTGCTGGCTGCGTGTAGAATGCATGGCGATGGCGGGCGAGCGAAACGAGCAGCCTCCAGGATTCTAGAACTCGACTCGCAAAACACGGCGGCCTCCATTCTTCTGGAAGAGTCAACTAGAGTCAGCGCTTGTTGAGGAAGAACTCACAAGTTTTTGTTGCTGGAAAGTCACATTTTTCTTCGTTGATGCTGCTTGAGATGAAAGAGAGACAAAGTGGATCAAGAAAATACAGAGTTTTCATAAAAAAAGAACTTACCACTGTGCTGCTATGAATCCCAGGACGACACACCACCGCCACCAATGTCAGGCGCCTCCAAGGCATTTGCCAAAGATGACGGCGCAGTGAGCTCGGCTTTGGGCTTCTTGGGCTTCTTGCGTGTTTCTCTGCCGCCGCCCTCGATGATGGAAACCACCTTAGAATCTTGCTTGGGCGCATCCTTCCGTTTTTTCTCACGGGGTTTCTCCGTGTTGTCTTTAGCAGCAGCGCTAACAGCGTCGGCGCTCGATGCAACAAGCTCGATGAACGGCTTCGCCTCTGTCAATTCATCGCGGCTGTCATCTTTGACACTTGCGGCAACTGTCTCTTTCTGCTGTCGTATTGCGCGCTGCTCGGTGGTTTGCTTTGGCTTGTTCCTGTGTTTCGTCCTCTGTTTGTTGTCTGTGGGCCGGCCATCGAATACTTGCAGGTCAGGAACTAGACTCTTTACCTGAGTACAATCAAACAAACATCCGTGTAAGCAAAGATGAAAGACCAAAAGCTTACATCGTCAGGATAATTAGCCTCATCGCAGAGAGGATTTCCTCGCAGGCTCAGGTTCGCCAGGGATTGCAATTGTTTCAAGACCTTCGCTAAAAATTCAGTTGAGTGCACGAGCAGAACTTGGATTTACGTACCTTGACACATTTGAATGTTTTAATACTGTTGTGTCCCACATCAATAATCCGCAAACGAGAATTTAGCCCCAGTTCCTTCGGGAGTTTCTGCAGGATAGAAAAATCATAATAATACGATCATCCGGAAAAGAGCTACCTTTAAGTGATTATGTGCAAGCCGAAGCTCTTCCAAGAGCAGACAGTTACTTATCGAGCTTCCCAAATCCTTGATCTCGCAATGAGAGAGGGATAGCTACAGCAAACATTCTAGTTTACAAGAAGACTGCCGGAAAAGAACAAAACGCTTACCTTCTTAAGTGATGTAAGCCTTGTCAAAGATGTCCCAAGGCTGGAGATGGGGTTTTGGGAGAGAACTTCGTAGCAAGCACGGTTAGAGTTGACAGATAAAACTGAAATCCAATCTACCTAGAGTGTCGAGGTTCACAAGTTCGTCAAAGGCTCCGATAGAAGTGATCTGATTATCTGTATGAACCGTCTTACTCAATCAAAAAGACTCGATAAAGAACAGACCGTTCAGAATCAGAGCGCGAAGCTCTCTAAGCTTTGCAAGCATTTCCGTTGATGTAAGCTCGTTTTTGCTACAGTTGAGAACCTGGAACGAAACAAACACAATGAAAGAGAAGCGAGGAAGAAATACGAAAGAAAAGAAAGAGCTTTACTCACTGAAAGATTTTTCAGGCCCTCTAGACCCTTCAAAGACGTGAGCTTGTTCCCAGAGAGTGAAAGCCATTTCAACTTTTTCAAAGGAGCAAGAGCCTAACAATGGAGCGACCAGTTCCTCAGAAATGAAAGGAGAAAAACCCCTATTCACATACCTCAACACTCGTGAGAAGATTCCCAGAGAGGTCAATGCGTGTGAGATTGCCGCAGGAATGCAGCTCATCCGAAATCTATCGAAGCACTGTTTTAGCAAGATTTTCCTCCGCCAATGTCATCACAACACACCTCATCAATCTTCCGGCGAGCAAGCGCCAGCTCGCCCAGCGCCGGCGCGTCGCCGATCCCAGAGATCAGTTTGCCGTCGAGAATCACCATCTAAAGCCCTAACCTAAACCATTCCCGCCAAAAACGTTTATAAAGAAGATAAAATCCTAAAAAGAACCCTAAAAACAGAGTCACCAGCTAGTGATCCACTGCTGCAATTCTAGCGAGCGCTTCCTCCACCACTTGGGCTTCTTCTTCCTCACTGGTATGTACACAGATTTTCCCTTGTACATCGACGCCAGGCACTCCCTGGGCGCGCTCCATCGAAAATCCCCTGCTTCCTTCGCAAAGGACGAGTTCCGGAAGCGATTGTGCGAGCTCCGGGAGCGATTGACATAGCCGGCCCAATCACTGCTCAGCAGCTGCAAATCCTTGACCTTGCGATGCATCCCAATGCAGCAATTCGCGTGCATTGTGCAAATCTCGCCCACGCGGTGCTTGGCCTGGCAGAAGCTCCCAAAAAGCTCGGTGCGCAAGAACCTCGTCTTGACGCCCATGTCCCAGTACTCGTCCTTGAACATGGCGGCGGTGAGGACGTCTTGATCCGGCTGGCCCGGGAAGGCGAGGCGGGCATGATACCAGTACTTGTAGAGCTGGAGCGTGCGATTGTTCGCATGGGCGTGCATGAAGCCACAATTTGGATATGCTGAGTCGCCGTGATGGACGGGGTAGTAGTCACAGGCCATCTCCAAATCGGCATCTGGATGGAAGTGCTGGAATGGATCACGGAACCACATCACATCGGCGTCCTGCAAAGATCTCTCGAGAAGAATTAGGGTTGGGGGGTAATTTTAAAAGTTGAATTTTAGGGTTCTTACCGAGAAGACGAAGCTATAGCCGAGCTCGAGGACGACGCCCAAGAGGTAGATCCGGCGCCACATGAGCTGGATGAAGTCGTGGGTCATGAATCCCTTGGCGGAGGCGAAGTCGAGGCCGGTGGTGCGCAGCGCGTAGCAGTGGCTGTGGATGGCCAGGCACAGGTCGTGCGAGATCTTGTCCACCGCCACGATGAGGAGGTGATCCAGCAAGGGCTCCGTCCCCTGCCCCGCCCGGAAGCTCCCTAAAAAGAGATCCAGGATGCCCGCCGACACCCACGCCCGGTTGAGCGTCGTGATGATCACCGTCCTGTTCCGGAACGCCGCGGCGCCCAGAGCTTGCTCCAGTCCTCGCAGCTCGCGATGGCTCTACACAGTGGCTGGATTCCCGCGATCAGATCGAGCAAGAGCTTATCGACTCACGAATTCGGAAGAGAGAACGCGCGTCGGCGATCGATCGCCCAGGTCCGGGGCGTGGAATTGCCAGCTCCACAGCGAGCAGAGGTTGTAGGTCCCAAACACCATTAGGGCGATGGACGCGAGCCTCACGGCGCGGCGAGCCATCTCGGGTTGTGTCACTAGGGCAAGAAACCGGGGCCGTTATGACCGTTAGAAAAGGAATGTGCGAGGGATATGCTGGGTATTCCCGCCAAGATGCTCGGAATATGGGGCCACTGGGCAAGATGCTCGGGTACTTCGGTGTACGACACTCCGGCTCTGGTGGGTCAATGCATTACGAATGCGCGCGCGCTGCTAAAGCTAGCGGTAGCGAGACGTGTTCTCCTCAAGTATTGGAAGCGGCGATACCGGGGCGTCTTTATTTTTCCAAGATTCCCGTTTTTGTCGCGTTGCTGGATCTCCATGCATGATTGTGTCATGACAACCTTAGACAATCGCGTTGGAGGGCCGATCCAACGGCCAGAGTTCGGTTTTCGATTCGCCCAGGCGTTTCGCAAGGGGGAAAAGAGAGGGAGAATATGCGAGGGATATTCACCGGTGGGGGTCAACGTGGACAGCCTCCCTCGTCTTCGGAAAAGCTCCGTCACGCTGTGGTGAATATTCACGCGTGGTGTGCGTGGCCGTGGCCCCCGCCGTTGGATGGGTCGCTAGCGGCGGATGCCAACGGTGGATTTCGCGCCCACCATTTTGTGATGAGAGAGAGAGAGAGAGAGGAGAGAGGGCAAAGTTCCAGAGGATTTTGGTTAGCGGATTCGATTAGATTGTAGCTAATAGGCACTCCTTTTCTTTCTGTTCGTTTTTTCTCACAGATTCGGTCGTGGTGGTGGTGGTGGTGGAGTCCAATTGCCGCACGATTTCCCGGTGAAATCGACCACCACCGCAAAGAAATGCCCACCTTGCCCAGGAATGTCTGAGAGAGACGATGGATTTTTCCAGATGGTGTGCGAGCTCTTGCCAGGAGAAGGAGGAGGTGGAGGAGGAGGAGGAGATTGCTTCATGGATGATCCTGGATTCCCCAATTCAATTCCACCTGCCGCGGATTGGGCGACCAATTTCCTCACATCGCCTCCATTTCAGTCGGGCAGCTTCTCCTCTCTCTTGGAAGATCTCCTCCTTGCGGAGCCACCGCCAGAGGATACCGCCGCGTCATCGCAGGATCAACGGGAGGGCGTGGCGGCGGAGGAGGGGGAGGACGAGAAATCGAAAGCGCGCGGCCGCAAGCCCCACAAATCCGAGCTGTTGGGCGACGTCTTGCGGAGAATCTCGTGTGAGAGAACAGAATTCCTGGCTCAGGTATGGGTGCCCACGATGCGAAACAGCAGGGTCATGCTTACCACGCAAGACCAGCCATACGCCGTGCAGCCCACCAAATGGGACCTCGTGCGGTACCGCACGCTGTCCGCGCGGTACGCCTTCCCGGTGGCTGGCGGTAGCATTGGTGAAGTTGGTGGTGACGTGCTGCCCGGGCTGCCGGGCCGGGTGTTCAGCCGTATGCTGCCGGAGTGGAGTCCCAATGTCCAGTTTTATGACTGTAAAGATTTCTTGCGAGTCCAAGACGCCGCGCGGTGTAACGTGCGGGGAACTCTGGCTGTGCCGGTGATCGAGCCCAATGCTAGAGAGTGCCTGGCAGTGATTGAGCTTGTCGCCAATGTGGAGAAGGTCGGGTATGAGTCCGAGATGGGAATGATTTGCAAAGCGCTCGAGGCAAGTTTTGTTCTTTCTTGTGATTAGATTTTTCCGGTTCTTTCATCGATCAAAAAAGTTTTTTGCTTGATCAGTCCTTTTCTCGTGATCGTTTTACTCATATCGTCTCTTCATTTTCTCATTAGCTTCCAAGCTTCCATTTTGTTCTTAGCTTGATCAAACTTTCTTCTTTTCAGGACATAAATCTCTCGAGTTGGCCCAGATGCGGAGTACCCGAGGTACGTGACACAACTTTAAGGTTCGTTTAGCTCTAAACACATTCTCACAAACTTTAGGTGCCAAAAGCTGGACGAGAGGCTGTGTTCGAGGAGATCTCCGGAGTTCTTCTAGCAGTGTGTGAGTACCATCAACTTCCACTAGCACAGACATGGATTCCATGCTTCCAGTCCTCCGGCAAGAGCTCCGGGAATAAAAACCTTCCGTGCTTGGTCGCGAGCCACGCACCGTTTCACGTAAGGGACTCGTCGCTCGAGGGATTCCACCGGGCCTGCTCGCAGCAGAAGCTGGAAGCCGGGCAAGGCGTCGCTGGGAAAGCCTCCACCACGAACCAGCCGAGCTTCACGAGAGACGTCAAGAGCTACTCCATCGCCGAGTATCCACTAGTGAATTACGCTCGCTACTTCAAGCTCGGGGCCGCGGTGGCGATCCGGCTGAGGAGCCGGCTCACTGGCAGCGACGACTACGTCCTGGAGTTTGTTCTCCCGCTCGAATGCACGGAAGAGGTCGAGCAGTGCAAACTCCTGGACGCTCTCTCGGTCACCATGCAGCAGGCTTGCCAGAGCTTGAGGATGGTTTCTAGCAGAGAAGTTTTGGAGCAGCGGAGTGTGGTTAGCTCTCCTCGATTCCTGGAGCTTCACAGTGGTGACGAGGAGATGTCGGGTGTTGTGTTCGACAACAGTGGATTGAGTGTCACCACCACCGCCACTACGACCACGACGAAAGCTACGGCCAAGAGGAAGAAGTTATGTGGAGATGATCAGAGCTCGTACTGGAGTGCTTGCTCGATTCAAGGCGATGGCTCCGGCGCTGCCAAGAAAAAAGCGGGAGAGAAGAAGCGTGCCACCAACGAGAAAACGGTGCCTTTGGATGTTCTCCAGCAGCACTTCGCTGGGAGCTTGAGAGATGCTGCGAGGAACATTGGAGGTTGGTAAAACTTGGATAGTTTTTCGTTAGATTTCCTAGCAAAGAGAAGAGTTCTCTAACTTCGAAAACCGTTTTTCTTTTCGTCTCCAGTGTGTCCGACGACATTGAAACGGATATGTCGACAGTATGGGATCTCGCGGTGGCCGTCTCGAAAGATAAACAAGGTGAATCGATCGCTCATGAAGCTGCAAGGAGTTATAAACTCGGTGGAGGGCGCGGACAGGAAAGTGAAGCTTGACATACTGACCGGAGAGATCGCGTCGGCTGCTGCTGCTACAGCTGCGATCACATCCAAGACGAGCAATTCAGGTCTTGCAAAGTCAAATTTGTCCTTGCATTTTTTCTCTAAACTTTGCTCTTACAGGTCCATCAACGAGCAAGAGTTCATCCGAAGCTAGCTTAAAAGCCGAGACTCCAGCAGGAAAAGAAGGTCTCAACGTTTTCCCAGACGGCGGTGGCACTGCTACTTCTCCAAACGAAACTCCGGAGATTCACACCACCGAACCGAGAGTGAACTTGCTACCGGCGATCAAGATCGAGCCCCGGGTTCACGGAAGCCACGCAGCTCTCTCGGTCCTGGATCAACAGAAACTATCTCCCGAGCGCTTGATAGCGAAAAAGCAATCCTCTTCACCACCACTACCACCGCCACCACCACCACCACCAGGAACTCAAGAACATCAAAGTTTCTATCACCAAAACCAGGCGAGCTACATCGACTGGCCAGCGCTGTCGAACCGAGTTCTATGCTCCAAGGAGGGAACCAACTGTTTCGAGGAGCGGGCGATCACGGTCAAGGCAACACTGCGAGAAGACACGATTCGATTCAAGATGGGGATGGAGTTTGGATTCGACACGCTCAAGGGCGAGGTGGCATGGCGATTCAAGCTGGACAAGGAAGGTTTCACGCTCAAGTACATGGACGACGATGCGGAATGGGTGGTGCTCAATGGCGACGCCGACTTGGAGGAGTGCTTGGACGTGATGCGTTTTAGCGGCTCGCGGGTGATCAAGCTCGTCGTCCAGCCTGTGAGCAATCCAAACGCCGGATCGCCGATTTCGCCCAGCTTCTGCAGTGTCAATTCGTGAACTTGATAGATGTGATCTTGAGTTGTAGCCTAGTTTTCTATTTTCTTCGTTTGTACAGGGGCAAAGTTCTGGTTTTGTTAGTGGGAGAACGCAAAAAAAAATGGAGATAATTGTGAATTTTCTGTACAAGAACGCAAAAAAAAAAAAAAAATGATGAAAATTTGTAAAATTTCCAAGGGGTCTGGGGTTCGAATCACGGCGATAGCACACTTGGTTAGGGTTTCTCAAAATCGCGTCTCCAGGGTTTGCGAGAGCGCGCGGCCATGGAAATCGATCTGGTGGTGACTGGCGTCCACACGAGGCTCTTCGACGACGATCCCGCAGCTGCATTCGTCGCCTCGGACGAGGCGCTGGTCCCCTGGAGCGAGGATGCCGACGTTCTCATGGATCGCTACGATGTCCGCCACTTGATCCACGACGCCAGTGTTTTCCAGCGCCGGCACCGCCACTCCAGCCCCGTGGACGAAGGAATTTCGCAGGAGGAGCTCGATTACGAGCGGTATAGGGATTTCCACGAGGCTAGCCGCGAGCTTGAAAGAGGTAAGCGTGTGGTTTTCTTCGTTGTGTGTGACTCGGATTTATTTACTTGCTTGTAGATAAAGCTGGGAACGATGGAGCCACGGCTTCCACCTCTGGCCTCTACACCAGCGTCCCCTTCGACTATCCCAAAGAGAAAGACAGCGAAAAAGAGAAAGAGAAGCAACCGCCGCCACCCGACCAAGAGGAGGCGCTCTTTGTTCCTGGCTTTCCCGTCCCGGACCATTTGCAGCCTCACCTTGTAAGTAGAAACTCCCCACGGGCGCATGAGAATCAAAAGCACTCTTTTTTTCTCGTCTAAGCCGTTCTCTCGAGTTGCAGTGGTTTTTAGCATGGAAGATTGCTGGCGCTGTGCTGGTATGGTGGAGAATTAATGGCTTTGAATTGGCAAACTGATGGCACACACAGGTGTGTGATTGCGAGGGGATGCGTGCTGGTAATGGGTAGAACACCTTATCTAAAATTTCCAAGCTAGAAGTCTACTTCCTTGATTCTTTCTTTTCTGAAGCTTTCTAACTTGTGGATCTTGTGGATTGTGTTTCCAGCCTAGGTCCCAGAAGATACACCAGATCATCAGCGGGACTGCCAAGTTTGTCAGCGAGCGTGGTGGACAGGCCGAAGTTATCCTCAAAGTAAAGCAGGCAGGCAATCCAAAGTTTGGATTCTTGCTATCGGATCACGTTCTCCATCCTTACTTCCGGTACCTGGTGGATCACCCGGAGGTGACAGGAGCGATGCTCAGATCTTTTCCACCGCCACCGCCATCACGGCTTGGCAGCGCTTCCATCACGAAACCAGCGGAAGGACTGAGATTGCTGGGCGAAGTCTACGGAGAGAACGACGAAGAGAATGACAAGAGCTTGAGCTTGCCACCAACAGTGGAGATCAGAACTATCAAGGAACCACCTCCATACATTAAGACGGTCATCGACAAGATGGTGGAGTTCATCGCCAGGAACGGGAAGGACTTCGAGGACGTTGTCCGGGACAAGGATAAGTCAGACGAGCGCTTCCACTTTCTCCATCCATGGCACGAGTATCATCCTTACTACTTGAGGATGCTGCAAAACGCTGACCAGGTAGCTTTCTCTCTTTGTTTCCTTCTCATTCTTTCCAGTCCAGTGAAGTTTTACTCTCTTACTCTCTTGTGATCACAGGCTACCTCGAGACGGCGATCGAGTTTAAGCAAGCATAGACAAGCGTCCAAGCCACCGGCGAACCTCAAGGCGAGCTCGAGTTCTTCCTCCCAGGAAGTAAATAGCCGGCAAAGACGGAGAAGCACTCGGTTTGATGTTCCTCCCCCAAGGGATGAGACCAAGACAGCACCTCACGGGGCACGGGGCGGTCTTCCAGTGGTTTCCAGTGAGGACGAGTTCGTCAAGGACATCGAGTCGAGCAGCAGAGGTATCGATTGGAACCAGCAACAGCAGTCTGGGATGAGCTACGATGATGCTCTAGCGGCAGTCCTGGCAGCAACCCGAGGGATCCAGAAGCCAAGGAAAGCTGTCGCGGAGGCCACGAGCAGGACGGAGGAGGAGATCAAGGCGGATATAAAGGCCGAGAGGTTGAAGAGAGCAAAGATGCTTGTGAGAGAAGGTGGCGGCCCGGGGGACAATAGCTCAGAGAAGTCCAGTGAGAAAGACGAGCGGAGGAGGCTGCGGGATGACAAGGTTGAAAATGGACACGAGCGAAAGAGGAAGCACCATCACACAAATGGCCAGGGGGTCGAGGGAGAAGTACCGGATGATATTCGAGCTAAAGTGAGAGCCATGCTTCAGCAGCTATGACAACGAGGACGTTGTGAAGCTCTTTATAGTTTTGATGTTCTAGTTTTATTGCTCTGACTGCTCATCTGAGAACCTTTCCATTAGTCAGTGAACGAAGAGCAACCATTCTAAGGTGCTTGCTCGGATTAATGAGGCTGGGGCGAGAAAAAAGCAAAGCGTACAGCCTCGTAGTTAAGTCACTAGTGCCAGGATCATCAAGAACACGAATGTGAGGATTTACTACCCTTCCGAAGCCATATTGTGGAGAGACCATGTAAATATTTATATGGTGAAAATACAAAGTGGTAGTAACAGAATGTGTAACTACCTCAGAGTTTTAAGAGCCCAGGCTACTGGCACTTGGGGGGGTGGGCTTGGTGAGAGCAAGTCCTTCTACTTGCTTTTTCTTGTGTTTCCTTTTTACTTTTTCTCACAACAGTGTTGACAGAGTGCATGATGTTGGGGTAGTCGTGGGTTTCTTGTGCACAATTGAGTCTGGCACAATCCCTTGGCACTTGTTAAGGATATGCATAGTATTTTAAGTGAGATTCTCGAAAGAGCTTCTAAATTGTGTTTCTCTCATATAAGTCCCAACACATCCACTAGCCAACCATGCTAGACAGTAAGTGTTTCAATTGCTTGATGTTGATTTTCTTGCATCTTCTTCTGCAATTGGTCATTCACATGTTGGAGAGTGGCTTGTGAGCAATGAAAAGTTCCAGAATAAAAAACCACAAAAGGGAAAAACTTACTTGACACTCTACCCAAACTGAAGTAGGAAACAAAGCAAAAAAGAGAAAGGGAATAAGAAAGAAATATGAAACCAAAATGAGGACAATTACTTACCTAGAATTCCACCTCAAGGTCTCTTCACCTCTAGAAAGTTCCTCAACAGTTGCCTGGTTGGACTCAGTCCAAAGGACATAGGTAGAGTAAATGTGTTGCCCATAAATGGTAATTGTAGAGCAATGAAAGATGGCAGCTGAATGAATGGATTATGAGTAAATGTGATAGCTAATTGTGACGTAGTGGTAGTGGAAGAGATTTGGGAGCCTCTGAAAATTGTTGAAGTGGTCTACAGCTTATGTGCTTATTGTGGGAGAAGAAAAAGCCCAGTCTTTATCAGTGTCTGTATGGATAATTGTTTGTGCTGAAGGAGCTAATCGGGAAGGGGAATAAACATCTGCCCATAATAGTGTATGGTCTTCTATGTGCATTAGGTTCAACTGACCTCAGCTGCTAAGTGTCTTGGATTTTCTCAAATCCACTGAATTAAGATAGTCACCTTTATATCTTGAGTTTGGCATATTATATTTGGCTGCTTCATGGTTAGTTTTCTGCATTTATTGATGCTAAACGAGGTCCCCAAATTCATGTGCAAATGGTGAGAAAAGTGGTTGGAAAGTGAAACTGTAGTGAGTAAGAAACAGTGTTGAAGTAAAGGGATGAATGGATGATGACTGTGAGTGATGGAGAATGGTGGTGGTAATGTGTGGAATGCAGTAATGTAGTGAACCTTGAGAAATAAACTGGAAAATGCTCAAGCTTCTAGGTAAGAGGGGTTGATGCAACCTTGAATTGAAAATCCATGCTTCTACTTGCTCTATCATGGGATTATAAGAGAAGAAAAGAGGTAAAAGCAAAGACAAGGAAAAATTCACTACAAGTTGGTGGTGATGCTGGGAGCCACTTGGTGTAGTTGGGTGGAGAGAATCCTAAAAAAGTCCAAAGATGCTAATAAAGCTAGTTATGTTGCCCTCTAGAGCCAAACATCATATAGTAGAGTGAAGGAGGGCAATAGTGGTCTCACAACAAAAGCTAGAACTTTATTGTGTGTTGCAAGCTAGAGAGCTCCTATGTGTTGGGAAGAACTACCTCCAAAGTTTGAAAGGCTACTTAAGTAGATTGTGAAGATTTGGTGGATTAGTGAAGTGTTGGTGTTATAGAAGATGCTGTAATTGTTGCAAATGATGCCATGGTTAGCATCTAGTGGATATGGTAAACTATTACATAATAATAGGGGTTTCCGACACTAGCAAGTGCAAATTAGGAAACAAATTCCTCTAATTAGGTAAAATATGCATGACTAATAATATTTAGGAATTTTATCCTTATGCTTATTTAATCAAGTGTATATTGGGTGGAAATTATAAAAGGAACCATAAAAGAGTATTAATCTCCTGCCATTATGGTAGTAAGGAGAGAGTGTTTATAAAAACTAATTGACAAATATCTTTTGATACCCAAAGTCACATTTGTGATAGTTTCCCCCCTTTAGGGAAGATCAATATTTTTATGGAAACAATTTCAAAAGTTAATAGAAAACACACTTTGTGAGAAACATACTAACTTAAATGAGTGGGAGAAGTACTTTTTCTCTACATCCAAAAACACTAAAACTCAAACACTCTCTGATCGTCACTGATAAAGAAATAACCACCCTTACTACTTAGGGTACCACTTCGCTTACAAAAGAATGATACAACCCTATAGGGATATAAAGAGAAACCTAGAGACCCAATTCCCCTGAGAATAAATTAACCCTATTGAGAAGATTTAGATAACTATTATAAACTAATAGATAAAGTTGTTTATATGACCATGCCCCTTTCTTAAAAATGGGTCAACAAGAGAGAGGCAAGGACTTGTGATCAATCTATAATAATTATCTCCATGGTTGTGAATTAAACCCATGCATTGAGTCAACCTACTAAAATTGACCTAAAACTGACAAACAAAAGAAACTTTGGATTAAAGTGTATTAGTTTATTGATTTGTTATAATTTTTTAATTTTTAGTACAATTCTCATACTT